TAAAGACTACAATACCTGGTAGAATCAGTTTCCCAACCACAATTCACCCAAATATGGGTCCTGCCTCCAACTGCCACTTCCAAGAGAGGCTCAGTTGATGGCAACAAGGTAAAGGGCCTTTTCAGTGGAGGATCCCCAATTATGGAACATGCTACCCCGCTGAGGCCTGCCTGGCACCAACCCTGATATGCTTTCAGTGCCAGGTTAAGATTGTTTTCTACTGCAAGACATTTAATTAGCTTATCGGGTCTTTGTTAGCTGCCTAAACAGGTCTTTTGACATAATTTGCACAGACTATTGTAACTTTTTATATGCATTTTAATTTGGTTTTAAATTTTTGTATGGTGACCTTTTGTGTTTTAAATATTGTATTTTGCAAAAATATTGCATTTTTATGCGCTGTTGTAAACTGCCCAAATAGCTTTGACTTTTAGCGGGTATAGAGAATAAACAGACAGCTATTAGAATGTTAAACTTATAGAAGCAATACACTCATTGGCCATCCTTAGTATTAAATTATTTTCTTAATGCCATAAGAGTAAGGGTAATCTGTAGTGACAGTGCTTTGTTTTATTCTGAAATGTCAGCTTCCATAGAGGAGTTGGGAGCCCAGCAATTACCATTGCCTTTATTCGTACATAGCTTAAACATCTTCCTTGCTTCATATACAAGGCTATTATAACAGAATTAGCATCAAAAAATAACAGATCAGAGCTTCCATTACTTAGGAGCAGTCAAAATATAAACTTACACCACCCTGAAATAAGGTTTTACAAGTAGGAAGTTACAAAAATATTTGATGTTGTGAGTACCACACTAGTATATGTTTTGTTTTTATTTTAGTAGAGAATATTTATTTTAGTATATGTTGTTGTTATTTTCTATACTAAACATAAAATATGATTGTAACAAGCCAGTGCTACAGCTATCAGACAACAGCACCCCAAACACATGCGACTATCTATCTTTCTCGAAGGGAAGGGAAGGGAAGGGAAGGGAAGGGAAGGGAAGGGAAGGGAAGGGAAGATATCATTAAGGATTTAAGGAGACCTTAAAGAGAAAGCATTCCAAGGGTGAAGTTCCCCTGGAGAAATCCCAATTCCTAAATATCATCCTCATGAAGGAGGGGGAAGCTAAAGCAGGGCCTGGGTAGGCTTTGAATGAGAGCAGGTGGTCCTTCACCTTGGTCCCACATCTTATTTATTTATTTTATTTATTAAAACATTTTTATGCCGCCCCATTCGCCGAAGCCTCTTGTGGGGCTTTTAAGGTCAAAAGCAGCACTCTGCATTCAGCTCAGGAACCAACTATTAGCCATTGCAATTGTTTTGTGTGATTTTTTTTAATGTTAAAGTCCCACCCGCTTTCAAGGAAAGCTTTCTCTTTTGTTTTTTCACTGTCCATAGGGATTATCTCTTCACCTCTTCATCCATGCTCTATAGCACTATTGTTCTTGTCTGTCTTGTCTGATCCCTGAGAACTGCATAGTGTGTGCATGTTTTGAGTTAAAAAAAAAGTTTTCTTCCTCCAATTCTTACCAATAGTGTTTTGTGCATTCCTTCCATGGTTATTAAGTTCCCTGGTCCTTGAATAAGTTTTTGGTTCTGGGTTTCCCCCTCAGTTTGATCTATATTAAATAAAGGATAATATTTTTAAATTTTTAAAAGATATGCAACTTATCCTTTATGCATATCTTTGTTTTGCATATTATTTGTTTTGTATAGTCTTTCTTTAAAAAGAATGCTATTGCTTTAATTTCACCCTCCTTTAGGGTATGTATGATGCCATCTTTAGCTTACCTGGATTGTGTTAAATTTTTATTTCTTACTAAAGCAAGGGAAAATTAACCATAACCATTATTCAAACTTTTTCATTGCTATAAATAGACCTGAATTTAAATTTGGGCTGAGATAGAAGTTATAATTTAACAACTTCACTCCCAAATGTGTGGGATGAGCTGGCAGGCTGTCTAGTCCATCCCCTGCCTGATCCAGGAAAGCCAAAACTAAAGCATCTCCAACAGATGCCTGTTTGGCCTCCACCTGAAGCCCACCAGAGTGCCTACCACACCTCTACGCAATTGATTCAATTGCTGAATCACTCATACCATGAAGATATTTCTCCTTATGTTTAACTAAGTACTGTTCTTGTTAAGCACATCAGATCTAGTCCTGTCCTCTGGCACAACAGAGATCACAATTTTGACTTCTTTTGTATGACATTCCTGATATTTGAATAGTTATAATTCCCCCCCTTGGTCTTCTCTTTTCCTCCCCCACCCCACTTCTTTTTTTGAGGCAAACACAGTTCCTTTCCTCAGTCATCACAGGACTTATTTCCACACTATTGATGATCTTAACTGACCTTTTCTCAACCCATTCTAATTTCTCTGTATCTTTTTAATGTGCAGTGTCCTGGACACAGTACTCTAAATGAGGTCTGCACAGTGTAAAGCAGAAGTATGACCTTCCATTTCTTAGAAAATGTGGTCCTCGCACACTGCTCTCCACATGCACTACACTGCTGTTTCATGCTTGGTTTGTGATCAACTGTGTCCAATATTCTTTTTGTATCCACTACTGACAATCAAGGTATCTCCTATTCTACACCTATGTGCTGGATTCATCCCCACAACCCCAATGGAGAACTTTGTATTTATTGCCATTGAACTTTATTTTGTTAAAAGAAAAACTTTTGGCCCTTTTTTTTGTTTTGGCTACTATTCTATTAAGATCAACTTGAATTTCATTATTTTATTTAGCCATTGCTCCCAGTTGTTTTACCATTTGCAAATTTGCCTTCAACCCCTCTTCTAAAGAACTGATAACAAGTTTGATTAGTATTAAGTATTAACCTCCCTCCAGTTTAATGAGATAGCACTGGTGGGTATTCTGACTATAGCTTTCCAACTGGTTGTGAATTCACATGATGGTATCTAAAATGCATTTAACAAATTTACTAATCAAAATATCAAGGGGACTTTGACAACACCTTAGCTTCAATCAAAATAAAGTAAAACTACAACTCTCTCTCAATCCACCAAGTTAGTAACCTGTTTTTTTTTTAAAAAAAAGAGAGAGAAACAAGATTAGTTTTATAGGATTTATTCTTGACAAAACCATGCTGGCTCCCACCAATCGCTACATTATCAAGATGCTTATAAATGGATTCCTTCATAATCTCTTCTAGTATCTTTCCCTGCATCAAAGAAGACTGACTGGCCTGTAGTTTCTAGTACTTCCATTTCCCTTTTTGAAGACTAGGACATTTCCTTATCTCTAATCCTATAACTAAACTCATTCTCCAGGATTCTCAAAGATCATAGCCAGAAGTTCTGAGGGTACTGTTTCTTAGTGACCTAAGATGCAATTTTCTGGTCCTAGTAATCCATGATGCAATGTTCTGTCCTTGAACTCATTTAAGAGTTTAGGAAATCAACTATTTCCTGACCAACAGCTTATTGATCTTGAACTGTAATTCTGACCAGTTACATAACTTATGTGATGCTGTACACCATTCCCTTTTGAGAGAAAACAGAAGTTAAACAGAAATGCCTTCACTATAAGAAAAAATGCTGCTACTAACATTTCACTTTTCTTACTGAAAAGTAATCCTGCCTTTTCTTTCCTTCACCTTTGCAAATATTAGAAGGCCTTTTATGTTATTCATGTGTTTCTTGTCAGCATTGTTGCAATTATAAGTTTTTAAGCATTTCTATTACTTTTCTGTTACAAGAATATTTTGCATGGTTTTGTGACTGGGATTTTCTCTCATTTTGACATTTATACAATTTCCCCCATTTACATTTATTTACATGAGTGGGGAACAGTGGTTAGAGTGCTGGGTTATGACTCAGGAGATCTGGGTTCTAGTCCTCATTCATCTATGAAACTCACTGGGTAATTTTGGGCCAGGCAGATTTCCAGCCTAACCTACCTCAGAGGACTGCTGTTTGAGGACAAATAGAGAGGAAGGAGAACATTTAATTTGTATTAAGTTCCTTCCAAGAGAAAAAAAGGTGGAATATAAGTGTAATGTAGTAGAAATAAAAACAACAATTATGCTAATAATTTATTTTGTTAATTAAAACACACACACACACACAAACAGCCTGCTCCTGCCTGGGGCTTCCAGTGATTTCCCATCTAGTTTACTGATAAGATACCTAAATTACTTCAGTGCTGCAACATTTCATGTTTCTGAATCAACCTTGAACCCCATTTCCTCCTTTTAGAATATATGTTTTCCACCAACAATTAATTCATTAGTTTTTTTTTAATTACTGTTACATCCATTTACTATTATATCCATCTCATTCTACTCATACACATTTTGGTTTCTACAGTTTATTTTTGAACTTTTATCAAGTGGTTTCTGTCTGAATTTGGGTATTGTTTCTATAGAACAGTAGTTACCTATGAATTGGTTTCTGCTTTTCCTAGGTTTGCAATTTTTCTATCAGTGTTCTTTTATCCTCCCTTATCACACAGCCTGTGCAGATTCAACTTCTTCCCCATTGTGGTTTACAGCAATCTTTCTTTCCTCAGTGTCCAAAGTCTCCCAGTCCTGACTGAAATGCTGCAAATGCCATGTGTCCACATTTTCAGTTAGGGAAAGATCAGGCAGATATACATACCTCCACTTGCATGGACCATGGTGCCTTGGATGGCAGAATGGAAGATTCATGACACCCCCTTTCTAGTCAGTTAGCCACTCTGCTCCACTTTCAACATGTTTTGCATTACTGTTCCTCTTCCTCCAAGACCTGATGTTTCCTAGCTTTGTGTCTGCAAACAGTTCTCAACTCCCTTTACTGGTATGCACATGTACCTGCTCTTTTACCAATAATTGCGTTTTGCAAGAAATTGAGTGTTTCCCCCCCTTCCAATCATGACTTTCCTACTACTGTTGTGGTTTCTAACTTCTGTCATCTGTAGCCTTTTAAACTTTTATGACTAATTCTGTTCTTTACTGTGAAAGTCTTGCTGCAAAATGCTCACCTGTTGAGGCAGCAGGTTCTTCAGGGGTTCTTCCATAGTGTGCCATTAGCTTAAGTTTGGTTTCCTGCTTTTTGTGTTTCTTCCCTACGTAGTGCTGCTTTGCCATCAGGGGATTATTGAACGTGGCATGGCAGAGATTGCAGAATTTGTCAGGGTCAGAAGTGTTTTGGTTCTCTTCATTAGAGGACACAGTTGTGGGAGGAGGGTTAGCAGGCTGTTTCTGAGCAGGTACAGCTGCTGAAAAATCAATCCAGAAGTTACAGAAAAAATTAGAGGCAAAGCAGAAGAGCTGAGGGTGCAACACTGCATAACCAAAGCAAGCCAAAGTCTCCTTAATGGATCAAAATAACTGCTTAGAAGAACCTGATTCTACTTAAAAATTGGAACATCTTCACTGTACGTGCACAAGCATGCATTCACATGTATTAGTTTATAGCTGACAAAAAGACTAGCAAAGACTGATGCTTGGTTTAAGTTTTATTGTTCTACATCTGTCAGTTTTGTTACCACCACCACCAGGAAAAGACATTACACTTGGGTGCCAATTCTCCATTCCAAAACATATTTTATCATGTTCATTGTCTTGAAAGACCGAGATTAAAGTTCAAGGTTTGTACAATGGATACTCAAAGAGCCTTGGACTAATCTGCCCAGGGTTTTCCAGCACAACATCAGGAGACAGTACACCTTCCTAATCATACCTTCTGCTTTTGGAGACTGTTGTTTCAGTTTCAGATTTTTGGCATGGGTCTTGCCTAGGTAGTGGGAGTTAGCCACAACAGGCGAGGAAAAGGTCATGTTACAGATGGGACAGCATTTGTTCCTGTCTTCTCCATTGCTGCTCTGCTGTTCGTAAGAAGAACACAGAAATTTACTGGGTCTCAAGAGACAGAAGAAAGTGTACCAATCTATGTCTCAAGTTCAGGAACTCAAATGTGCCATCTTTTTCTGCTTGGCTTCTCAAGTTTATTTCCATTGTGCAGGTACACAGTTGATTAGCAGGTAAGCTTTATGCTGAGGTACCTACATTTTTCAGTTTTAAGGGCTACATTTGTCATCAGTAGTGGGGCTGGTGGTGGCACATATGCGTAGGTACACATGCATCACTGGAGGGAGTGCTTCAGGGCTTGCCAGGAGGAAGGTGCAAAAGTCTCTTCTACCACACCCAGAGCAACATCAATGGGTATCAATGGTTTTGCCCCACCATCAGCAGTGCAGAAACAGTAATACCAGCTGTTTCTGGGTTGCAGGGAAGTACAGGAGACTTTAGCTTCCCACTTCTGGAAAACCCAATAGTTATGGCTGCTTCTGCATCAGCACTATCAATGAGAAAGCAGCAGTGCTGACTAGGGTCAGGACAAGAGAAATCTAGTGGTGGGGGAGTACAACTGGCATTCAGGGGGGTGCATGCAGCCTCTGTATCCCTGTTTAAGTGTATGTTTGCCTTAGCAGCACAGTGCATGGACTTTTAAGAGTGATCTCAGAAATTACCTCTGGTGCATTACCCCATAGCCCAGGAAATACTACACCCCATGACCCCAAAACTTTCGCTTGCAGTAAACTCAGTAGTTTGCTGTTCTGAATGATTGCTATTACCTCCTTTGTATCCAGTTTTATTTTCTTACTCTGACTGAGTTCCTCTTCACCGTGGATAGCCATGTATCGCCGAACTTTGTTTGCATGCTTCTTACTCTGGTGAAAAAAGAACAGAAGAGCAAGATGAGCATACAAGAAACCCTGTCTATTCAAACCATTGGTTTCATTAACTGCCTACAGCTTGAACCATACCTGATAATGAGCGAGCTTCTGGGACTCAGAGATGAGCACAGCACTACACACTTTACACTGGGTGTCCGTGAAGATGTGGCTGTTCTCTTTGATCAAACGATCCACTGCAAAAAGCAAGCACACAGATGTATTTTTTAAAAAGCAGGATGCTTTGGCAAGGACAAGCTATCCTTAGGGGCTTAGCCAGCATCACACAGTTGGTGAGGAAAGCTTCAAACACTGGTTTAACATAGGCCTGCTGGCAAACATAACTTCAGAATTTTGCATTAACAATACCAATTCCCCAATCAGGAACAAGTAATGCAAATACTAGTAGAAGTCAAGGCAGTACAAATCTTCCTCCATGTTCAAATAAGGAAAAAAAATGTGGGGTGGAAGATATATCCAGTAGTAGCACAGCAAAATAAGATGTCTTATGTTCCCTTCATTATGCTACAGGATAAATTTTCCCTCAGAGCAGAACTAAAGGGCTGAATCATTAGGCATCTTTCATGTTACTAAAATAAGTGAGACCAATAATATGGAAACATACAGAGAACCGGATATTAGTTTACATGCGAGGAGAACATTGTGGACTAAAACAATTAGAAGCAACTTCATTTAATGATTTACCTTGCAAATAATGTATTTTAAGTTAGCACAGAGATATGTTCAACATTCATTCTTAGCATTGATCCATGTCCATTTTAAATACAATGCCAATGCTTTCATTAATCTTCAACTGAACAGTCAATTGGCTAATGGAAGTCTTTTAGCAAGAAATGCACAGTGTCAGGCATTGTTTTTATGTCTCCAAATGTACCTAGCACTAACAAAAACAGAAGAATAACTTTGTGATCAGCAACTGAGATATGTGCACATGAGAATATATATATGTGTATGCGGATCTTAGGCCAATGATCGCACAAGAAAGAAACTGCTATTTATGTACTGATTAAGAACCAAGCTGGAAAAATACAAAATGTTCTCAGTTGTGATTTATCTGCAATTGTCTTCAAAACAAATTCTGTGCATGCATTTTAAACTCTTAACAAGTTATTATACTGCCGTGACAAATTGTATTTCTGATAGTGCCATCAAGATCAAAAAATCTTATTTGAATTATGTTTGTTTATTATAAGTAATAACAGAATGAAGAAAGACACTCTTTCAAATGATCAGAAAATTTGTTGTGGCTTAAGCCTTCGTGGACTAAAGCATACTTTATTCAAATTAAAAAACAAGTGTGGAGCAAAAAGGGCATAACATTTTCTGACATTATCTGTGAATTTTCTATGCAAAGCACACATCAATATAAAAAGAGCCAAATAAACAGCAGTACACTGACAACAGTGATTGTGTGCCCTAAACCTCCTTTTCTTGGTTGAAGCCGAGGATGGCCTTTCTGGGGGGTGGGAGCTGGAACCCCCCCCCCCCGAATCTATCCTATTACTGCTCTATTAGAGGTCACTTACACTAGCACTATGGCAACAGCAAAAACAGAGTGGCACCATTTCCCTTACATGTTTAAATTTTAAAAAGGTACTGAAAACTATTGACACACTAATTTTCTACTAAGAATGTTGTATCACCTTCAGTTTTACTGTTACTTCTTAAAGTTTCCACTGAAAGTTCAATCTTTTAATGATATATGTATTTTCTCACTTGGGATAATCACCTGAAAAACATCATTAGTTTGAAACGGCCAAGCTTACCTAATATTGTATTTGTTACTGGCATATGCTGATTTTTAATCATTACTTTATGGAAAGCTTTCCATAGAAAAATACAACGCTGGAAAATTTTCCATCCCTCATCACAGGAAGTTGAGACAAGTCCCTGCCTGTACCCTGGAGCTTGCACCTGTGGTTTTATTGCTATTCAGAGCACCTCTAAAGCTAAGCATGACGACTTCACCTCTTTCTTGGGAGAACAATAGTCAGTCTCAGTGGAAAGTACAAATGCTGGCTAGTTAGCTAAGACAGCTCATACTATGTGGATCTCATAGCAAAGGATAACACTTCACGAATCTGACAAAGTGTGTTCACCTCTGCAAAAAACTTACCTAAGATAATGCAAGATTATCAGATTCACTGTAGACTCTTCACTGTTTATGCTGCTATAATACAGCTACTCTTCTAAAACTTGGCACTCCCAAAGAAAGGCCTTTGTGCTATGGTGTGTGCATGTGTGGGGTGGGGGCGGGGACAGGTGCAAGTTTTAAAATGTATTCAATTTGATTGATGGTGAAATCAAATGCAGAACTTGATATGGGACAGAGTGCTGTAAGGTGGCTGGTAACAAACAAGACTGATGGTGCTAAATCCAGATGTACATCAAGCCTCATGGTCACTAAATTACAGCATGTGGGGCAGCTTTGGTAATTTACAAAGATGGTCCTAATTTAATACTGTAAACTGTCTAGAGATTTTCTATGGAAATATAGATGGCATGGAAAACATACATACATACAAAACACCATGTGGCTTTTATGTCTTGAAACACGAAGTGAAAAATGTACTACTAACATATAGGGGCAGTCCAGTTAACTATTGCCCAGGCAATTGCTTAAGTTCTCAAATCCAACTCTATCTGCATGTCATTCCAACAAACAGGCAGTGACATTTTTTCTTGTAGTTGTACTGAAAAAATACTTTTTTTCTAACAGTAAAAAATTATCTGAAATGGGAGCTAACAAAATGCAGAAAACTTGCAATAGCTGACTTTCAACAAATAATCTGATACTACCAAAAATACTAAACAGTACTTATATTAATGCATAACCAAGACTACTGTCCTGATTTTAAGCGGAATTACTCAAAAACCTGTATGGTAAACTTTAATGGGATTTCCAAAGATACATATTTACACCTGCAGCCTAAATTACCTAGTTTACCCTTGTCCAATCTGCTATGGAAAGTAACCTAATCTATGGAAGTTGTCATCTGTCTGAAAAAAAAAAATGCTGCTTTGCGTACAGACAAATCTAGTTCAAGGTGCAGACACAAAAAACAAACAAACAAACAATAAAAAGGACAGAGTATTTCTGCTAATGTTTCAGGTTATCTTACATATAAACTACGAAACATAAAGATTACAAATATATATATATATATATATATATATATATATATATATATATAGTGGTCCTGTTTACATCCTGAGATAATGCACAAAGGAGAATGAAGCATTTGATTTTTGTACAAATGCAGCACATTTTCTGTTTGCCTAGTCCTCTGACCAGAGTTTGATTTTCAGGTTTTCTTTTTCCTCATTTCCTCCACTGATTTTCATAGAACTGTAAACTCTGTGGATCAAAGGTCACTATTTTAGCATAGTACATTGGTAGATTCCAGATCTTGGAGATCAGCAAGCCAAATACTACTCCAAGGGAGTTTTGCTTCATTTATTAGAAAGCCTGATATGTGTTTTGCCTTTACTCTTCTATACAGAAACTGTGTATCATATTCACAAACCATAAATGTAAAAAACAAATATAACAGCAACCTGGATCCCACAGAAGGCACTCCAGGCAAAGGTTTTTCACATTTATCTTAAATCTAGCTGGCTATGCAGATGAAGCAGGACCTTTCATGCTACACTGTACTTGAAGGCATCTGAATGAGATAAAATGATTAACCCGATGCACTGTGTTATTTCAGTGTAGATACTAATAGCGATTTGTATCAAACTAAATGGGAAAGAATGAATTTGCACCTGGCTTCTGTCCTATCCTTATCAAGATACTTGAAAACTGAACTGAGGAAGGGTCAGAAGATACAGAGCATTTCTAGCCCATCAGACAAATTTGGCTAGTCCATCCAGCCATGGGATCTCAACCACCATGCCTCCCTGAAAATGCTTCCCAAATCCCCTCCCCTCAGAATAACTCTGGTTCAGTTCCTTTCATACTCTGGTTGTCTTCTGATAGAGGACTGAGCCAAACTGGCACTTTGGTGGCCCTTACTCCACCCAGGCTTACCCTTGTTGGGGAAAGCATAGGTGAAGTGCAAGCTGGAGGTATATTGATAACATGAATCAATTTTCGAGGCTATGTGCTTACTGTTCATGCCTGAGCATTCTGTGTAAGGTAAGCAAAAATTATCACACTATTGACTTCCTCACTCTGTCTGTAAACAAAAGCACATGGTCACAAGGAAAGCACTTAGCATGAACTGGACAATATATGCAGTGAGCTGCTAAGTATTTCTGCAACTGCAAGTCAACACTACAACAGTAGCTTGAGTTACTTTGAAAACAACTGTAATCTAATGAGAAGATTACTAACAGTTGTGGGTTGAAAGGATAAGCAGAATGTCAATGGAAATACTTTCATGTAATCATAAATAAGAGTTTATAGAAGTTATTTCCTGAGGAGTACGCTCACTGCAAAAAGTACAAACCACTTTTCTTTCAAATGAAAGTAGACTCACAACTTTTATTTTAATCAAAGGGTCACAATTAGATATGGTAACAAAAGGGATTTGGGGGCAAGCTTTAAAAACATAAAAATGTGTCACTGTTTCTATTGTAAAGAAGTTACATAAAATTATAACAGTAAAGAGTGAACATGGATAAAATTCTGCCTACAGCCAACATAATGCATTACATATCTCTTAGTGGGGGAAAATGAATATGTAAGGAATCATCATTGTCACAATGTTATTAGTATACAGTTCAATAGTTCTCTGGGAAGAGCAGATAAAATACAAGAGAAAATGCAAAATAGTAAAAACATAATATAAAAACTCAAATTTACATCCAAATGTTAAAAGCTATGATAGCTTACACAAAAAAATCACAAGGCTTGTTAAGCATCGACATAATACCACAATATAACGTAAAACCAATTAAATACCCTATCACAGAGGTTGTTCTTAACCTGACACTGAAAAGATATTAAAGCTGATGCTAGGGGGCCTCATTGGAGAACTGTAACTGGGGGACTACTCCCAGAAAGGCTCTTCTTCTTGTTGTCACCAGGCAAGCCTCCCTCAATTGGAGGCAGGCATCAAATCTTGACTGTAGTGTTTGGGTAGACTGTGGTAGGAAGAGGCATTCTTTCAGATACTGTAGTCCCAAGCTGTATAGATCATTACAGGTTAAATCAACAGCTCAGAAGCATATAGGCAGACACATGTATGCAGGCCAGAATTGGTGCTATATATTCAGGTACCTATTATTAATTGGACTGCTGCATTTTGCACGAATTGAAGCTTCTGAACAGTTTTCAAGGACAGCCCCATGTAGAGTGCATTGCCTAGCTTAGAGATTACCAAAACATGTGAACTGTCTATATATGTGCAAGACCAGCATCGAAAGTGCCATACCTTTGTGGAAATTGTGTTTGTATCAGCTAGTTAACACTCTCACAGAGCTGTTCCCCCTAGTCATGGTGGAAGACAAACAGACATTCTAATCAAAAACTCTGCCAAACTCATGCCAGCAGAGCAGATAGCAGGGAAATACAGCATCTTTCTTCTCCCAACCTTTTTTCATTTATACACTTTGAATGACACTTTCAATCTAGCTCCCAATTGCAATGAACTGGAGGTAAATTATGCATGTCAGTTCCAAGGCTAGCATACCACCCCATGTAAGAGCTAGGAGAGTTTTGAATTCTGCATATCTACTTTGTTTGCTTCTACTGGCATTAGAGTTCCAATATTAGAAGAAAGGGCATCAGATGTTTCCACTGAAGTTGGAAAGGGGCATTCAAGGTAGTATCTCACTCTCCAAAGACAGGCCTCCCTCTTGAAGGAGAGATGCACTCTATCTCCTGCCCCCAAAGCACCTTCTCAGGGACTGCAGGAATGCAAGCATAACAGGGAAATTTCACCTACTTCTAGGAACAAGATCATATTTTGTTTGCTTGTTTATTTGTTAATTGTACACCCTACCTTTCCACGAATACCTAAAGCAGCAAAATCTAACCTAAATGATGCAAGTGAGGTATCTGCATTATCTTCCCTAATGAAGGAACAGGGTCCTCCTGAGCAGCACATGTGGAGTCCTGTTCATTATAGCAATTCATCTTCAATGTATGCCACACTCCTTGAACAGTAGTTTCTGGAGATTCTCTGAGGTGAGGACATGCAGAGCCATCTTCCTTAGGAAGCACTGCTTCAAGGTGAGAGGAGAAGCTTGAAAGGCCAATTCCTGAAGAAACACCACAAGAGGTTTCCCAAATTGCAATCTGGTCTTCCAGCTGAAAAAGCTTCCTCATTGTTGGATTTAATGCCATCCTGTGCAGCTGTCTCCCTTTCATCTTTGCTACCCACTTATGAGTACATGTTTATTAAGTGCCCCCACAAACGCCATGCCATTGTTTCTATTCTTGGCTCTTCCCATTACTTCACTGAAACCTTCATGTTTGAAGATTTCTATATGTAAGATCTGGACTGTTACTAGGAGCACAGAATGAATGTAACACTGGCAGCGGAACAGCATGACAAAAGTGTGGCAACTAATCAAGGTTCTTTTCAGAGTGTTCTCTAAACTCACTCACCTCTTGTGCAGCCCCTTTATACAAGTCCCAACATGATCGATTGTTCTGGGTTGTTTAATCCCTAAACAGCCCAGAGTTCCAGGTTCAGACATCACGATAACATCCCAGAATGTTGATTGAAAGTAGAAGCACATGGGAGGCTGCATGCTTGCTTGCTCCTGCTTGGATCAGACAATTCCTAGGTTAAATAACCCAGGAATTATTTTAACATGTGAATCAGGTCACAAAGATAAATAATTTGGACACAAGGTAAAAAAACTGTAACTCAGACACAATAGTGTCTCCAAGGTCACTACATTTTGACAGTTCAAATATGTGCATTTCATTATTTATTATATTTATATCCCGCCTTTTTCCTTCCAATGAAATCAAGGCGGCTTACAGAATTCTCCTCCATCTTATCCTCACAACAACCACCCTGTCAGGTAGGTTGGGCTGAGAGTTAGTGACTGGCCCAAAGTCAACCAGTTAGTACCATGGTTCAGCGGGGACTAGAACCTGGATCTCCTGAGTCCCAGTCTCACACTCTAACCACTACACCACACTGGTTCCCATTTGTGCTTGAGATGAGACAAACACTGTGTGAAATAGGAGAAACTTAATCACATTCTCAAACACACAACTTCAATCATATATATTAAGGGGACGGCTGCACAGTACTCTAAGAATCATAAACTAATATGGACCTATTCTAGAATAATACACTGGGCTCTGTGAATCTTACGGCACCTTCAAGAATAACGGATGTCGTGCACTAGAGCTCAGTTCATCAGATGCTCGACTTCGCAGACCCTAGCCCACGAAATCCAATACTACATTAATTTGTTTGGTCTGCAAGATAGCCTAAACTTTTATTTATTTTGTTGTTGTAACAAGCCCAGCTAGCCCTCCGGAACTGGAGTCATGGTAACCAGAAACTTCGATTTGCACACAGAACAGAGGAAAAGGATTGGCGACCCGGCTTCTGAGTAGGATATGGGGAAAAGCAAAGGCTCCTCCCTCTTCGCTCCGTGTACAGAAACAGTATCGCCAACTGGTCCCAGTCCTGTAGCCATACATGAGGTTTGTTGGGAAGCGCATGAGCCCGACAGGCCCAATAATGTTCCAGGAGGTATATACTAAGGTGAGCAGACCAGGCGAGTAAAAGAACAAGACGACAAGCACCCGCGAACCGCAAAAGCAAGCCGGAACCGCCCGCGCCTCACCTGCCTCCTTCCCCACCGGCAAAGCTGCAGCGTCCCCGTTGCTACCCGCTTCGTCCGCCATCTTCCTCCAGCGTCGCCGCCCCCGAGGTGTCCGTCTTCTCCCAAAGCTCCGAAATCTCGCGATAAGCTCTGCTCTCAAAAGCATGTATCGCGAGAACCACCCCCTCCCCGCCGCCCGTAAGCCCGGGAATCAAACCGTTCGGCAGAGCGCGGAGCATGCCATGCATTCTCGCGACATTTGGTTTTCAATGTGGGTTGAAGAAAACCACGTGACCAAAACAGCGTCTCCTGGCCACCCATTTCTTTTGTGGGCAAGCGAGCAGTAACCGCAGTTCTTTTGGGCACCGAACTGGTCTGTGTTTAATCAAAGTTCGTTATTTGAACTGATTAAACCAGCCTCCAACATTCCCATGCGGACAAAATTATACAAGTTAATACAATGGTGTATACGAATTAAAAACGCTTAAAGAAAGCATTTTATAAAGATTTAGAATAAATAACGAATAAAATTGAGTAGTTTTACGTTTGCATGAGATGGCCAGCATCCTCAGGAGGCGAAGAACAGTCATATGGCGAATCACTGCCGTTCTCTTATCAACAAGGGACCGAACAAATTTCACCTTAGAAGAAAGACATCTCCCAATAGCTCTCTAGGTCTGTAGCAATCAATGGTTATTGATCCAGATGGCTATATCCAAACTCCAGTGTTACAGGCAGTGTGTGTATGCGTAGAGTTGCTGTGAAATAGCAGAGTGGGGCTATTTGCACTCAGGTCTCACTTCTGGATTTCCTGCGGGCAGTTGCTTGGGCGCTCTTGGTCTGATACAGGAGGATTCTTATGTTCTCAGAATGGAATGTATCTAGTGTGTCTTGTAGCAAAACAATCTCACTGGGGATAAGCCCCTAGTACAAACGTAAAAAGAGGGAGAACCTATTGCCTGCCAAACAGAGTTTGCTCCTTGAGCTTGAACATCAAGGTTCCCTCCAGCCTGTCCAGTCAAGGTGAACAGGACCCAAAGGCAGTCAAGTCATTTTGGATCCAGAAGCAACAAATTTCATATGCACCTCCGCCCTCTCCTGGCACTGAAAATACAACAACTTCTTTACTTCCTGCCTCTTACAACAATTTGATGCAACCACCTCTGACTCTAAAACCAGTCTCTGTTCATGCACACACCTGTCTTTAAAGAAAACCTCTTCCCCTCTTTGTAAAAGAGGATGTATGGATAGAAAAGAGCATTTGATTCTATGAGAATATTATATCTCAGGTAAAAAGGGCGTAGAAAGGAAGCAGCTGGACTATTATTGTTCATTTCTATGTCATTCAGTAGGTTAAGCTCTCTGGATAGTTCACAAAAAGCACACAATACACAATAAAATACACAATACATATATAAAATACATAGTACACAGTAAAAACATAAAATATCTGAAACAAACCCTTTAAAACAATTTAACCAATTTTAAATACAATAGGATACTGGCTTGATAAAAAGAATTGGCATAAATACCTCATCAAACACCTGGGAGCAGAGGACAGCCTGGGTGTCAAAAATACACCCGTGTTTCCAACCGGCAGGTCCAGTCAAGAGAGCATTCTAGAATGTGGTAATACAGAAACACATCTGAGCAAAATGCTGGTTAGTTTAGGGACACCAGTTGCATCAGGGGTCCCAAACTTCTATTTAAGCAAGTGCCATTTTTTCTGTACCTATATGAGAAACAATACCTTCAAAAATGCCCTTTATACAGTGCTACAATACCTGTTTGTGGCCTTTAGCTCTGAAAGAGCAAGAATCTTCTATTCTCCCCCGCCCCATGTTTGTTCACCTTTCTCAGCCTTGCAGAAATCTCTGTGGCTAAGCAACACCACACACCCACCAGAGTCCAGCCATGTGGATGATGAAAAAAGCAGGTACACTCCAGCTAATGATTGGAAAACAAGGATCTTGAGACTCACTTGGGCTAGGCCACACCACCACTCGCATACGTTGCTGTGTGAGCAAACCTCCAAGGAAAGAGACCTGGGCCAGTTTGCAGAAAGGCAGATCTCTCACAGCAGCCAATGTACCTGTTCTTCCACCTGCTGTTCTCTTCTTGGATTGGCCTGTCTAGTAGAAACTGGCTGGACTGTAGCTCTTCACAGTCAGGCACACTCCAAAAGTGCCAGGTGACAATGGTGGTGCTGTTAGGCAATTTTAGACTCTGGATGTTTGTCCCCAGCCCTTTAGATGATAACTTCATATACTTCAAATTATAGATACTAACCCTGCCTACATTCCCGGTAATTTTTTAGCAAAATAATAGCAGCACCAACCCAATTAAATGAATAAAGACTCCTAGAATTTTAACATTTGAAACTCAATTCATGGTACATCAGCATGGCCACTAAAACAAAACAGAATTTCCTTTTGCTGTCCTGAAGTCAAACATGTTTACTTAGGAGCAGACACCACTGTGTTGTGGAATGGGAGGTTGTATATTTGGTAAGGATATATAGTTAAGTAAAAAATAGAATATAAAACGAGCTTTTCTAATCAGGTACATGCATTTTCCCATGGAAAATTTGGCTAGTTTGGTGTGACGACTGTGGTATTTGGTTATGAAGACTGAATTGAGGTTATCCACCACTGAAGGAAAGACACTCTGCATTTTAAGGGCACAATTCTTAGTACTTCACATATTACAGTCTTTAACCATCCCACAGCATCTTGCCACTCAGCAAGATGCATTTTTGCAATGCCTTCCTCTATCTCTCACTCCCTTTCTATCTTTCCTTCTTTCTCAGGTGCCAGTGCTATGCATATTTACCTTAAAGTCTTATCTGACACAGTAGAACTTATTTCTGAGAAGACATACACAGGATTGCAGTGTAACTTTCTAAAGGTGTGGCACACTAATTCTGCCACTGAAAAACATGCTTGAACAAAAGTTGGAGAAACAACCTAAAATGAGCAGTGCTCAAGAAGACTGATGTCAGTCTTTCGCCACTGCAATGCAACCTGTGATCCTGCAAGCCTGTACCCCACCCCACTTTCCCTGGTTTCTCTTCCTCTGGTGAAGCGCCTCTACCCTGGGGTACCATCGAGCAAACCTGAGAGTTTGCAACAAAGCACTATCCTCCCCTCGGAGGTCTCAGGCTTGGGGCATGCCGGGGCTGTAAGGCTTTTTTTCAGTTTAACCATCCGTAGGATTGCGCTGTTGAGTTCTCTATAAACACACCTTGCCTCTCCAAATTCTTGCACCTGACCAATCCCAGCATTTCTAATCACAAATGTGAATGAATAGACTCATTCATTCATTCATTCATTCTCAACTTGAGGCCACAATTCCAAGAATTTACTAATAAGACACAGTGTTGATTGTTCGCACACATCCAGACGGCGAAAGGCAGAAGAGTCTGGATTTCCTCGATTGTTCCAGTGAGTGGGAGCCCGGGAGCAGGAGAGGAAAACGCCGTTATTTGCCTTCAGCCAAGATGACGCGGAAGGCTTCACCGGGGATCACGCGGGAAGAACAGCTCACATGACCCCCGTCCCGCGTACCCGTTCCATCTTAGCTGCGGGAAGCGAAGCTATTGGCGCCAACTTGGGTGTGGGCAAAAAGACGCGCTCTTTGCCGCTCTCGAATCTGTGCGCGAGTCCCAGCAAGAGGCAGCGGGGACGCCGACTTCTCGTTGCCCGCCTGTTGGGGTCGGCGCGGGAGGGGGCGGGGCACCGGCCCGGTAGGGGAGAGGCTGGGGCCGGTGAGTAGTTGTGTCTATGCCCAGCCCCACCCACGGAGTTGCTTCTTTCTGCGGGGGGCCCGTACAACCTTTCTCCCCTCCAGTGCTTCCACCGCGGGCGGGCGGGCGGGCGGGGGTCTCTACCTAGGACGCTCTCTGTCCGCTCACCTCACGGTCTCCGCCTAGGTCTGGCTGCCCCCACATCGCGAGTCTTATGGACCTAACGCTTGCTGGAGCCCCGTTTCACAGCCCCTCCGCCCCAAGTAGAGACGGGTTGCTGGTGGGCTATGAGGGGAAGCTGGTTGGCCTGCGCTTGTGTTCTTAACAGCTGTTTGATGTGCAAAAAATCAGCCGAGGAAGCTTTCCATTTGGTGAAGATCAGCACTGCTGGCACATCGCGCTGGTGCTGAAGGCCCGTTCCAAAGTTGACAACCTTCAGAGTAGAATTGACGCGCCGGTTCCCTTTCCTTTCGTTAACTTTATATCCTCTTCAGGCTGTATCATCTTTCTAGGTCGGGTACCTCTTAGATGATATAGGTCACTTTACGAGTACTCCTGTCTGCCTGCAGATACAAAAGAGGGTAGGACTCCTTCATTTTTAATAGAGAAAATAATTCTTTTCCACACAACTTTTACATGGGAAGGATCCCTGTCATCTCTTGTGTCTGGCTAGACAAGTACAGCCTGGCAAATTAATTCTGTGTGCAGAGGAGAACTGGGTATTCCATTCAGAACATAGTGTGTAAAAATAGCTTCCCGGAGTGATGCACAGGTGCTTATGCTTAACTTGTTTCTCAGAGAAGATTTTGTCATGTTTTCTAAGTTGTTACCTGGCTGTCACTTTTTGCCTGGGCTACAGATACTTTACTTTGAGGGAGCACATCTGTTGTAGGGAATCTGCATATTAATAACCCTGTCCCCAGTGTGTTCCTGAGTGCTGATTGGATCCACACAGTGACAAACTTCTTCATGCCCTTACACACAGCATTATGTGTACTGTTTGAACAACGAGTCTTTATTTTTGTCAGTTTTCTGAATCTTTAGAGGCTGCATATTCTCCTAACTGCACTAAAGGGCAGAAGCACTCATCTAGTCCTTTAAACAAATAGCTTCCCAGTGACAAATGCCATCAAGGCTATCCTCTTTTCCTGTCTCTCTTTCCTCTGCCCATAATTCTCATTGCATTTTGCAAAGCTTTTCCTTAATTTACATTTTTGTTTTGTTTTGTTTTGTTTTAAGGCTGCATAGTTATCTTCCCTAGGACTGTGGTGGTGCTCTTATCTCTATTCCTTTTTAAAAGTAAGCTTTGTTCAGTGTGCTTACCTACTTGTGACATCACAGGTAAGATTGGAAAAACATCTGCAGTACAGGGAAAGAAGAGTCACAGAGCAGCATGACTATCTTCTCACAAATGGAAGCTGAATTTTATTTAGTAAGGCATCCTTCCATTTTATAACTGTATTGGAATTCCCATTGGAATGGGAATAGTGCTCTATAGGATGATTGCACAATAGAGGGGGAGGGGAAGGAATTGGCATACTCTTAGACTTGGGATGCATTTTGATGGAGAGCTCCTTGCTCTACCAATCCAAAGGGCTTCATGAAGGTATTCTATCTTATCTGAATGGATTTTCCACAGAAAGAAAGAAAATGGGAAGGCTACAAGTGGAAGATGTGTCTGGATACCCCCCTTTGGTGAATGAGGCAGTGCTTATGCCAACAGAAGAATGGTTGGTTTTGCAGGAATTTAAATTGATAAATTTCTCAATCCTATGCTTCAAACATGGGAAAGCCACATTCTGGTCAGGGAGAAAATAAGAGTTTGGATGTTCCTTGCAAAAGAAAAAACATGCAGAGCTTTGTGGAAAGCTTTTAGCAATCCGGAAATTGTATCTGGAAAACTGGAAATAGTTGTATGTCTATTCTGTTGAACTTGTAGAATAGGAATACTCTCAAATAAGGTATATTTCCTAATAATTATGTCCATTTCAAAACAATAGGATTGCTTATAATGTGTTTCTCTGACTGAGGCGCAGACTTGTTGCAAGTAGATTTGAAAGAGCAGGAGGGTATTGTGGAGATCAGGGAACTCTGAGGACAATAAGGAGTTATTTGAAGAATGAGTTTCCAATGAAAGATTTCCTAGCAAACCAGGTCATTGAAGTTTATGGATAAATGCTAGTTTGTTCAACCAGAGAATGTGCACAGGTTAGAGGAGTAAGATCAAGCATGTGCTCTTTAAACTTGTGTCCATCCTGGTTTATGAAAACTACCAAAAGGGGTTAGCTGTTTGGATGGTCAAGATCGTTAGTGGTCATGTTTGATATGGCAGTCCATTACAGATTATTTAACCACTGCTGAGCTATGACATGTACTGGCTGCCATTTTGAATATGCAACACTTGACTGGGCGGGATGGTGGTCGCCATTTTGTCTGAACTTTGCAATCAGGAGTTATACAAGAGCTAAACTGCCCTTGTACGACACTTGCATAACCCCTAATAGCAGGCTAAGATGGCATGACAACCAGTGGGCAGGGCTGCATATTTCTTTTATACCTGATATGTGCTGTGGCTTATCATGTCTTAACCAACCCAGAGTGAGCTCTGGCACATTGTTGAACCAGATTCATACTTCCTTGAAAGATGGTAATCTTCAAACTTTCTCTAAAGGAGGCTGTGGTAAGACCTCAGTTGAAGAAGCTTTTGCTGGCTTTTGTCATCCTTGATAATCATTGACCAGTTTCTCTTCTTTTTAAAAGCAAATCTTGGAGTAAGTGGTAGCCTTGCTACTCTTGGATGAAAATGAATCCTTTTTATTCTGGGTTCAGGTCTGGTTTGGTAATAGGAACAGCATTGGTAGAGCAGAGGATCCACAGGGGATATACATCCTTCTTGGTTCTGCTGGACCTTTTAGCAGTGTTTGATTCTACTGATCGTGGTATCATATTCTGGGTTTTTATGAATGTGCTGTCATGCTTCTGCTTGCCTCCTTGTACCAGTGGGAGCAGGCAAACAATCTAAGGATGTCCAACAATGAAATGGGGATTATATAGCCCCAAACAGCTTGTTCCTATAGTACCTAAAAGACTGCCTCCTCCTTATGAGGTTGCTTTGAATTTGCATTCATCATCTGAGGTCTGGTTATGTGTCTCACCTGGGGTGCTGCTAACAAAGGTATCATTAGAACATCATGCTAGTTCTAGATATTGTGCAAGAAATACAACACTGGTATGGAGACAATACATGGGATTGGGCTAAGGAGTGATTTAACAACTGAATAGCTACAGCCCCAATGACAGGCTTAATAATTGGGGCATGAGTTTTCAAAAGTGGCAGCCTGAAGCCATTTATGTTTTTCTTTGTACAAGCCCCCAAACACATTTTCTTGGAAGCAGGTTTCTTTGATTTCAGTGGAACTCTCAAGATATGCTTAGATTCACAGTCTTTGCAGGAAAAACTTCTGTCTAAAGCATAAGGTATGAACCTACAGTTTTGCACTTCTGAATCCATTGCTATTTGTTCTTTGAACCTCTGCATGTAACTACTATTTTGAGTATCACAAATCTGCTCCACATTTGGGAGACCCTTTGGAATTAATCATGACTTTTCCCTGCCGAGTGCATCTAAACATTGATCCATTGAATTTTACTAGATTTGGGTCATGCTTGTGGTCCACGTATCTTGTTCTTCATCTTGTCTTTGACAGCAGGTAATAGTCATCCAAAAAAGGTTTTGCAGAAGTGTGTCCCTCGCAATAGTCTCTCAAAAGAGTTTCATTAACCTTGAACAATCAGCAGAGATCTAAAGCATAAGAGTCTGTCTATCCATCTTGAAAAATTGGTAGCACAATTACGTATTACTATCCAGATCCTTTATAGAGGTTTCAGAAAAGCAGGTAAAATACTCCAGTCTTGTGGAATTGGTGTGAATGTATTAGTGTTTGCAAAACATGCTAAATATCAGAATGGAAAATGGTTAAGGGGAGTTCTGTGTTATGTTTGACCGCTAATAAATGCAGTAATGAGGATTTCTTACTCTGTGGTGCTGATTATCAGCATCATATTTATCATTCCTGAGGTTGGGGTAGCAGTTTCAGAAATCACCAGCCTGTAGCTTGAACCTCTCAGAAACTCATTTGGAGATGAGAGTCATTCATTTTTGGCTTCGTGTTTGAGCATTCTAAGCTGTCACAGCTTGGCAGGTCTAGTGGCTGCAGTGTCAAGATTGTGAATTATCCCACTGGTAATTGTTTTCTGATTCATCAAAGTGATAGATGATGATGATAGAAAATGGCAAATAATCATAAATGTGGAATTTTCAAGGATACCCCAGAAAAGTGCATGCTCTGAAATGAAGCACATGTGAGTTTGCTTATTAATAGGTCACCTTGACCAACTGAGCTTAGAGAGAGAAATGTTCTTAAGAGTTCTGATGAAAAAAAACAACAACAACAGAAGACTGGAAAAACAGCCTGTGAGCCAACATGCAGAATTAATTGCAAGTAATTAATTCTTTGACCTGTTCCATTTCACTGAAACCAAATACTGCACTTAGTTAACAGCACATTCCCGGAGAGAGTATGCAAGATAAAGAGAAATGAAAGCAAAACAACATATTCAATTTTTCCTGACTTGCCTTGGTCTTTTTAATTTATGTTTTAAGGAGTATCAGCCTCTTTGGTTTCAGAATTGTACAGAGAGTTGTGCGGTTAACTCTCTGTATTGCTTTGAAAACACAGGGGGTAAGTGAGTCATTGTACCCACTAGTTAATGTTTCTTAGCAATCCCTTAGCTAGTGCGACCTTTTAGGCAAAAGATATATTGCACAAACTAAGTAATGTGAGTGCTGATGTGAATGTTGAATTTTTGGCAGGCTTGCAACTAGTGTGCATCTCCAATGTATGTCTAGTATTTTAAAGGCATATTAAGATAGACAATCTAATCTACTGAATATGAAGTAGCAACAGAGATGAATTTTACTGAATTGTCTTCTTCACAGCCTTTGTCTATTGCTTTAAAGGGTGTGACTGGTATAAATTGGAAAGAATTGGAATTGGAAACCCTTATCCTCTTAAATCGATGAACATTTCAGAGTAGCTTTGATTATCTTCCTGTAAAAATGCATGGATGTGCATGGTGGGTTGTCATGTTGTCTGAACCCAGGCAACTTCCCACAGGATAGTTTGTTTAATGGCAACAAGCCACCTGGACAACCCATGGCTTGTTCTAGGGGTTGTTAAGCCCACAATGGGTTATGTTGTCTAAACCTGGCAGACCAAACCCATCGAGGGTTGTGGGAAGTGGTGAGTAAGTCAACTCAATGAGAATTGCAAAAGCCCTTGCTGCTCTTTGTGATCTCACCTTTGCTGCTGCCAGTGACAGCCATTTTACCAGTGCCAAGCAATATATTGGGGTGAAAAGAAAGGGTTTTGTTCTTTAAACCCAGCTAGCAAATAATCTGAGCTTGTTTGTTGGAGGGCTTTTTGGAAGAAGATTTCATGGCTGTTGTTGAGAAAAAGTAATAGGGCTACAACTAGGGAACACTGAGAGAAAACCAAACCTACAGTACTTAGTGGACTATGCATGAGAATGATCAGACAACATTGTCAGGCAACACCAACAGTATTGGGGGTATGGGAAGGTGTACAAGCAACCCTTCTTTGTCAGTGCAGTCTCTTTCCTTTGAGGAATGAGTTTGTGTGAGTCCATATTGGAACCTATCTAGGAGAGTAAACAGAGTGTGACCATCTCAGTGTCCATGATGCAGTTTAATAAATTATCTGTACTAGCAGTCAAAACTAGAGGTGAACTTCTCACCACTGCATCTTTCTGCATTGGGGCGGGGGGGGGGGTTACTATGGCAGTGCCATCTCCACGAAGCAAGAGAAGTGCCATTGGAATACTTGATTGTGTTGTGATTGGTATGTGCTACTGGTCACCAGAAAAGCTTTGGTGGATGGAAGGGAAAAGCATTTGCAGTGCTGCTGCTTCTTTCAGTTGGCCAGGAGCCGTAATCAGCTTTCCTGGCTGTACTTTCACTGATAAAGCCTGTTATGTAGTTCCCTTTCTATGTATAGGTCTGGCCTGGAAAGACCTTGCTGAAAGCAGTACTCTAATTGCACTTGCACTTGCCTTACCCTCCATTTCTCCTAACTCTTAGCATTTGTCAGCAGGTTTTCCCCTTGTCTGCAGTATGTCCTTCCAGGAATGGTCTTGTCCCAGTAGAGGGCACTATGAGTATGCAGTTTGGTGGGCAACTTGGCGCACAGAAGGAAACCCAAGTGTCCTTGACTTTTCTCTCATATTATTTAGTCTTTTTATTATTCTTAGGACCTTTGCCTTATTCCTACAGTTTACCTCCAAGCTGTTGCTCTGAGAGTATATTATTTGAAAAATGCAGCTCCTACCTTATGTCTAATTAAATATGAAACTGACAACTGCTCTTGATGTCTTGGTTTTCTCTTCTGGAGTGCTGAGCCTAGCATGATCTACTATCTCTCTCCCTGTTTGTTCTACATCAGCAGCCGAGCAGGGTTAAGGCTAATAGAGGTTTGGGATGGAAAGCTGATGTTAAATGTATAATTTTAGCTAAGTCTTAAATGAGCTCTCTCCTCCTTTTATACCCATCAGTTTGGAACATGCTGTTAGTCTGTGTTTCCCAACTTTTTCTAAGCTTAATCAGCTATATAACATATTCTAAATTGGATGAGCAGGGATTTATGAATGTGCCTTGTTACTCCCAGGTCCACAAGCCTGTATGATAAGAATGGAATGTCGAGGATAGTTTGACTCAATAAGGCAAGAGAGTCTACTAGTGTGGAAATAAACCAGGATCTACCAAATATCTTTAAATCTTTATTTGTTTTAGTGGAAAGGATGCCAAAGAAGAAGCGGAAAATTGCAGATGGGTCTGATGCCCAACCCCAAGATAAGGAAGGAGAGGAGTCAAAGGTATCATCAAATGCCACACTGAAGCACAGTTTTGTGGACGCATGTATTGTCATATCTGACAGTGATGGAGAGGTGAGTGGTCAGGAATATAAACAGTATAAATTCTGACAGACTGTCTTTTTACATACATATTTATATTTATATGAAATTTTATTTTGAAATGAAGTTGAAAATATAAACGAAAAATGGAAAAGGATCATACAACCATACAAGATCACTAATTAAGAGAAAAGAAGAAAATGAAATTCGCTTATTACTTCCTTGGTGTAACTGTTGGAAGAGTTTGGATATCTGAATCATAATCAGAAAAAAAAGTGTTTGGAAAACAGCCATAGTTTAAAGAGGTTCCACACAGGAGATAAGATAAATAAAAATGATGGTGCTGAAACATCTTTTTAAAAATTGAAATTCCTTGCTTCTTGAGTGACCGTGTAATCTTATGTATCTCTATTCAGAAGTGAGCTCCATTGGATTCAGTGAGATTTACTTACAGGTAATTGGAAAGTCTGTTTAAGATTATGGTCTAACTTTGTACATAACATAGCATCCCAGATTTTGTTAGCTTACTTATTTTTATAGAATAGTCAGTTCTGTCTTTCTGTCTGAAGTTATGTAGCTGAAGTTTTGGCACAGTAGTCCATTACTTATTCATAAACTTGTTTTAGGATGCTTGATCTCTGTCCAAATGATCACCTGTGGCATCATAGGCATATCAATAGGATTTTGACATTGGAAATAAACTGTCCCCCTTTCCAATTTTTCTCTCTTCATTCCTGTAGTTTTGTAAATATCATTTATCTATCTATTTATTTATTTAATATCACACAAAATGCACCCAAAGCATCCCAGGACACTGTGTCTAAGAAGGAAGATGGAGTTTATAAAACAATGTACTAGAGGGGTTAGGAATCATAGTCCTATGTAATTTAATACAACCAATCCTAATATCACAAGTAAGTGATCTTGACCTTGTCTTGGATAGGGTAGCACTCCCTCTAAAGGACAGGGTCTGCAGCTTGGGAGTATTCCTTGACCTAGAGCTGTCCCTGGAAATCCAGGTGGCAGCGGTGGCGAGGAGTGCTTTCCTACAGCTTCAGCTGGTCCATCAGCTGCATCCTTACCTGGACAAACACTGCCTAGCAACAGTGATTCATGCTCTGGTAACCTCCCAGTTGGATTACTGTAATGCGCTCTACGTGGGGCTGCTCTTGAAAATGGTCCAGATACTTCAGCTGGTACAGAATAGAGCAGCCAGGATGCTAATGGGGACTGGTCTTTATTCTCATATAACGCCGGTCCTCTATTAGCTCTACTGGCTTCCACTTGAAGACCAGGCCCAATTCAAGGTGCTGGTTTTGACCTATAAAGACCTGAATGGCTTGGGGCTGAGATACCTGAAGGAATGTCTCCTTCCTTATATGCCCTCACGCCCCTTAAGATCTGAGTGGCCCTGCTCTGAGAACCCTCCCTGAAGGAGGTAAAAATGATATCTACTCGGAGGAGGGCCTTCTCTGTGGTGGCGCCCAGATTATGGAATGTGCTCCCCAGAGAGCTGTGCCTGGTACCGAGTTTATATTCTTTTTGGTGCCAGGTTCAAACCTTTCTATTTAACTGTTATTTAAAAATAATTTAAAATTCTAATGTTTAACAGTTGTTTTTATTTAACTTATTTAATTGTATTTTTGGTTAATTGTTACATATTTTGTTGTTGTTGTTGTTGTTTTAGTGATTGTAAGTCATCCCGAGATGCCAAGCATAAGGGACAGCATTCAAAAATTTAAAATAATATATTTAAATAATATAATATAATATACCAAAATAAGCACCATGAATTTTGCCCAGAAAGCAGTTGATATCCGCATCTACAATGCTCGCACAAAATATCTCTGGAAGGAGGTGAATGGCTTCCATAGCACTGTAGTCTCAGAGCAGTCATCAGGGCTTGTTTCTGTTGTTCTGCTTTGAGCTAAGGAAGGGATGAATAGAAGCAAACAGATACAAATCTACCAAAAAGGCTTGTGGTGAGGGATGAACTTTTAATTTTATATATTGGTTTTAAAATACTTTTATACCCTTGAGCAAAGCTTCTGAGTTGGCTTTTAAAAGACCAATACACATGTGACTCCTGAAAATGCTCCCATGTTGTGAGAATTTGCCCTAAAAGCTGCTAAAAAACCATGGGTGTGTAAAGTGTTCTCAGGACAATCAATGCATTCCAAAGGTATGTTTAAAATATTATGCTCTGGAGATGGCAGCAGTCACAGAAATCTCTACAGCCATAGCTTCTTTAAAGTAATGTTTATTTCAGCTGCTGAAGAGAAAAGCAAATTGACCTGTCTAGCGAGAGGAGTCACGTTCTATCTAGCATGACAAATTTATATGTAACTGTTGGGACGCAAACATCAGGCTGTGGGGTATTCCATAGAAGACATAGACCCTTAACCATTAAATCAATGGTGATAGCAGCAGTATTTATACAAGTTCAGGAGATAGCAATTGCATTACTGATTCTGAGGAATGCCTGAATCCTCATGACATGGACCTAAGTCATTCCAAAATGACTCACAGAGGAACTAATTTGCCATTAGATGCTTGCACTTCTTAACATTTCTGCCCTGGGCTTTAAAAAAATTGATGGAAGGATTTTTGCTTCCCTACTGACTATAGATTTTGCATCTAGTTTCTTTAGTGGCCAGTTTTGATGAAGAGATAGCTATTATGTGGAAAAACTAAAAAGAAACCCACACAAATGTTAAACAGAAGGGGGGAAAACCTTTATAGTAGATGATATTTGAAGTCCAGTCTGCCCACTTTATTTAGGACCTTCCATTGCTGCAAAACACCTTTAAAGAATCAGATCATATAGCAGTGATTATTCCTTTGTACTAAAACCTCAGCTGGCAAATATGTTAAGTGAACTTTTGATTTGTGCTTACCAGTCTTTATGCTGAAATCTGCGAGGAAAAAAGAAACCAATAGCTTCAACAGAATCTATTGTACATGGGAGATCAGGACCTATTGTTGGCAACAATTATTTATCCCATCATGTATGCATTTGAAAGTGGAGAAACTAACTCTTAAACTACTTCTATAAAAATGTAGGTACTTTGGCTAGACTTTGGTTCAGGCCTATAAACAATAAATTCTGGTGGCATAATCGCTCATATTACAGAACAGGATATGCACAGGGAGGCCATTAAAGAGCCAATTAGGTTCTGTTCTGTGAAGTGAAAACAGTTCACAGCCAGTTGAGTAAGTGGATTTATTCTGTTTGCTCTGTTTTGAGATCTGGGGCTATAACCTTACCTTCTCATTTTCTCTCCTGCAAAAAATCTGTTTCTAGGGAATTGCGAAAAATGTGTCTGACTCTTGAAACGTTTCCTCAGACTTGCAAGGTGTGCAATGCAATGTTCAGGCCCTGAATTCCCTTCTTGTTGCCTTACCATAAAAGGCATGCAATAGTCTAGATTGACAGCAGTTTTAGAAAGACTAGTTTCTCAGTTCATCTGTTAGGAATGAGCAGATTCCTTTTCATTGGATGTGGATCCAAGATACCTTGGATGTTGTTCTTTCTAATTCACAATTGTTAAAGGGATGCTCAGAAAGCAGAGTCTTTCTTTGGAAACCTCCTGACAGATTGCTTTAGAACAAGCCTCCAATGCTTCTCTTGGGCCAGAATGTTTTGTCGCAGTTGCAACTGGAAAGTCTCCAACATCTCACTTTTGATGATCTCTGGCAGACTGAATCTCCCTGGTATTTCTCAGTCACGCTTTATTGTCAAACTCCCTTGTGCTATTTTTTTTTTTTTTTTTTGGTTGTTGCACAGAGCTGTGTTATCTGCTAAGGCTAATGTAGAGAAATGTTTCTGTTCAGTGGCCTGTCTGATCAGTCCTGATTACCTCTGCATAGCATAAGTTGAAGCTGAAAGTGGCCTGATCATGTCTCTGCTTATCTGATTGGCCCTTCTGTCAGCTTTTTGTGGTCATTGACCAAAAAGTATTGTTTCATTTTTCATTCTTCTCTCTCTAATAGAGCTGTGTGACGTTTGTATCCAACCTTCCTTCAGTATGTTATATTTGTATCTAGCCATCCTCCATACTTCCTCTGAGTGTGCACAGAATACATCTTGTGAAAGAGCTGAAGCAGCTCACCCAAGGCCATCTGGACCAAGGAAGGATTTGAGCTGAAATATTCCACACTGAAGCCCAGCCTTGGCCTGTTTGCACATTACAGTGACCCATGGTTAACAAACCAAGGGTTGTTGAAAATGCAGTGGGAGTGAGTGTGCCAGTTCTCAACTGCTTCTGCTTCTGGCAGGCAGAGCAAAACACCTGGAACTCTGGGTTGCTGGATGACAACCCAAACTGGCTTTGGATATCACAGTAAACAACTCAAGCATTTCTGGGCTATTTAATAGAAATAGCTGGCTGGGAATTACCACAGCCACTTGCTCCTGCATTTTCAATAACTCATGGTTAACAAACCATGGGTTGTTGACAATGTACAGATTGGGTGGTTCTGACCAGTGCACCACACTGGCTGTAACCATAAGTGTTGCAGTGGAATAATCTTCTGTAAAACTAGTTTGTATTCAGCCTTGCAGTAGAAACAGAAATAGTGAGAACACCAGCAGAAGGTCAGGAAACAGTGAGACTCCCCGCAGAAAACTGTTGAAGGGAGGTAGGGGAAGAGAAAGAAGAACTGCAGGACACCATCAAGTGAACATGATTCAAGCAGTGCTGGGCAAGCAGTTTCTTTTGTGGTGTGGTATTGGGTTGCATTTAGTCATTTGCTTTGTCAGCATTGCATTCAGTGTCCCCACGTAGTTCAGCAGTTTTGGCCATTGGAGTGTCCTGAGGTCCAGCTTTCTTTCCTTAGCAGCAGCAGCAGCAGCAGCAGCAAAGCACCAGCAGTCTGCAGCTAGAATGACCAGTGTATGTATTACTCTACAGTTGTTACTGAATTTGCAGTTGGGTCGGGTATAATTGAAAAAAGGAGAAAAGGGCAACCATATACTAAAAAACACAGTTGTATCTGCTTCCTTCTGTAGTTGTATGGTTTAGATTAGGGTG